ACGCCTGTTACTGTAATTACGCAACAAACATTATTAATTTACCGTCTATAACACTACTTTTCAATATTTATTAATTTAACTCACCACTAAGAGGTAGGAAGGTAGCCAATCCTCCGGTGTGACTTTTGAGAATCGTAGCATATGGTCCAGGCGAGCAATCGATAACCTAACAAAATTAATTACACAATCAGAACATATTCAATAAGTTTTATTTATTTTCTATTTTCTACTACCACACCGCCAACCCATTCCGTAGGCTTCAACGTTGAACGTCGTATACAGTAGCGAATTGATTTCCCATTGATATTACAGAATATCTATGAATCATTAGGATTAATATCTTGTCATGAAATATTTAAATATCACTCACAAAACAATATATTTCACTTACCCGATTCTAACTCGCTATTCCATAAATAATCACAAATTGCAGCTTCGATGTCATCAATTCCGGTTGGAATATCCGCTTTTTCAACCTACAATTTTGCATACAAATTTTGTCACAACAAATAATAAAAATCAATTAAGTATTCTTTTATTAAACTTACCTTCTGTTTTCTTCTGGGTGCAGGACATTCCGAATCCAAAACTGCTGCTATAAACACTCTCCGGTGTATAAATGACATCGACTTCCTTCCTCCTCATTTCTTCCATCTCTTCTTCTTCCTCCTCCTCTTTCTTCTTCATATTTTTTCAGTTCATCGTACTTTTTTTCTACATAGCTCTTCATATCTTTATTTCACCCTTCAATTGAGCTCCTTCATCCGAGTATTTATCAACCACCCCCTTCACCCCCGTAAGTTCACTCCTCAAATCAAACAACCTCTTCACCACTCCCTCAAATCTCCCACCAGCTTAATATCACCCCTTAACACCCTAACTTCACCACTTCACCTCAACACCTCTACTTCTTTCACCACTCCATCTATTTTTCCTTCCACTACCCCTTATGCCTCTCGAGTGTATCTTCGACTCTCTCGAGTTTCTCTACGACTTGATCAAGTTTCTCTTCGACTCTTTTGTCTTTGCATGATTTCAAATTGGATTTTTTTGATATCAGCCAATTCAGACATCAAAATGTCGAAGTTACTCTGTTTTGCTTCACCGTCGTCCCACTCACCTTCATCCCCCAATACAACCATCCCTCCTTTCTTCTCCTCTGCCTCCTCTACATCCTTGCCAATAACCTTCAAAAAATTAAATTACAATATTAAGACATTGATTATTATTAATATTATTTAATTACATTTATTACCATTTCTTGCTTCTTCCCTCTATCCAATTTCAACTTCACCATCACTCTAACCACCTCTTCCTTCCCCCATGCACGGATGCGTGCCACTCCGGTTCTTCATAAGCCGGCACTGCCTCACAGCCCGACCAAAAATCGAACAGTGCAACCTGCATTTATAATAAAATTTATATTTTTATATAAAAACACAAAAAAGTGATTCAACTCATTTACCTCTAAGATTGCTATGCACCCTTTGAGGTATCTCTGGCTGCCCTTTTTAAAGGTGATTATTGATTCAATCAATCTCGAATGGATATATTCAGCCCAATTGAATTCACCCTTCAAGCCTTCATCGCAAATGAGCTTCATATATTCCTTGTTCGTTGACGTATCACCCGTTGGACAAAGAAATATCCCGACAAGGTACAATAGAACTCGGGCCTTCAGCTCATCCCCCAAGTAAGATCCACTTTTGATATCCTCTTCAACTTCAGTATATGTCACCTTATGATTCAAACCATATTTGGAGGCAAGTGCTTTCCAGTTCTTACTCCTACAGACTTCTATAACACTTTTGCCTTTGTTTTGTACCCCCAATACGGCTGCAGCAGTCGATACCCCCAGAGGGAATGAATAATCACCATACTTAGCCATACATTGACTGACGTCAAATTGTGCCATCAAGGATCGACACAATTCCCTCCGAATAGGTCGATCCCTTACTTCGATCAACGATCCAAAACCTATTTCTCCCAGCACATTCAACTGACCCTTCTCCTTAAGGTGTTTAATTAATAAATTCACCCTTTTAATGCTGCATCTTGTCGACACTTCCTACATTTTTAACAATATATGTTATAGTTCTTATATATTTTTGTATCAACGTATTTACAAGTTTAATGAATACCTTATTTTCATGTGCTTTCCTCCGTTCTTTGTATTCTTTACTATCATTCCTTGACTGTGTGATGTAAGGTTCCTTTTCAGCATCACTCATTGAATTCCATTTGGACCTCACATCTTTTTCACCTAATATTAAACATAAACGTTTCTTAATCAATACATTAACACTAAATACTAATACTACTCAATGTCAATTTCATTTTACATACCGAACCGCTCTGTGCCATCTCCCTTCATCCTTTTGCATTCGGCCATACTGTTAACATTTATAATTTGTAATCAATTTAAAGTTTATCGATACTTTAATCCAATTACCATTTCAACAATAATAACAAAACATTGATACTTACTAGAAGTACATATATCCACCCTTTGGTTGCTTTCGAGTCTCGGCCTCAATTTCAAAGTCATCTGCTCCACCAACAATTTTCCAACCCATTGACTCCATTTTTCCTTCATATATCAGTTTACGCAAATCAAATTATTTGTTACATACACTTTTCAATATACAAATATAGATAACTACTCTTGTGGTAAAACGGTTTTCTTCAAAAGAATTTGAACGGCCACACCAAAATGTGTCGGCACATTTATACAACCTATAATATCATTTTCTACCTAAATATTTAATAAAAGTATCGACATTTATATTTTTCCTTGAATATCTATTTCTACCTGCAATCGGTCCCAAATGCTTCCTTACTCCAAAACCCCAAACAACACATAAAAAACCCTATCGCGATTACTGTAATAATAAAAATTAGGGTTTCGACAACATACTTTTCGATTCGACTGCAGCAACAAACAAACAAACTTCGCTTTAGAAACGCCTTCTGAAATGCAGCAACAATTACTCTTCGATTTCAAAAACTCGTCCGTTCTATCTTTTTTCAGAGGATATTTAGCTATGGCCTTTATATTTTCATCGGATATGTTATTTATATTTAATCGATACAAATACAAAAGTGTCGATACTTTTATGTCAGGTGTCGATACTTTCGAAAGGATAATTACCTATTTCTTTGAAAGTGTCGATAATTTATTACACGTACTTACGAAAGTATCGACACTTTCAATATATCCGGTATCATTTTACCGGTTTTATCATTTTGTTACCGGTTTTATCATATTTTTACCTGTTATATCGTTGTGGATCGATATTTTTTTTTTAAAGTATCGACACATTATAGGCGCTATAACTGCTTCTCTTTTAAATTCACAAAGTGTCGATCCTTATATAACGTATCGACACTTTTAAATTTACCGGTTTTATCATTTTGTTACCGGTTTTATCATATTTTTACCTGGTATATCGTTTTGGATCGATATATTTTTAAAAGTATCGACACTTTTTAGGATTTAAAACTGCTTTTAAAGTTATGTAATTTATGTTTCAATTTATTTAATAGTGTTCCATGTTTTCCACCTACAATATTAATTTAATAATTTAATTTACACAAATTTATTTGATTGTTTTGATATTTATAAAATATTATTTAGAATTTAAATTTAACAATATTAACCAAATATAATAAATATGTTTTCAACAGTGAAATAAGTATGGACACTTTTTATAAAAATGATATATATTTTTTGAAAGTTATGTAATTTATGTTTCAATTTTTTTAATAGTGTTTCATGTTTTCCACCTACAATATTAATTTAATAATTTCATTTACACAAAAAATTATTTGATTGTTTTGATATTTTATAAAATATTATTTAGATTTTAAATTTAACAATATTAACTAAAGATAATAATAAATATATTTTCACAGTGAAATAAGTATGGACACTTTTATAAAAAGGATAGATAATTTACAATATAACAGGTAAAAATATGACAAAACCAGATTCATTATGACAAAACCGGTAAAATTTACTTGATATGTTAAAAGTATGGACACTTTTATAAAAAGGATAGATACGCCTCATAAATTCATGTTTCGCGGGATATGATCACATATTCATATCTATGCACAAAGCCCCTTGTCTCCCTACACAGTGCCCCTACTAAAACTTAGGTACAAGGCTCAAAGCACTCTATTCACCGCATCCCCATAAAGCCAAGATCACCATCAATCAAACCTAACGTGACGTCAAACATTGTAAACACCTCCCATCCCATCCATGGCGTCACGTCAAATAAAACCTGCCCATCGCCGCTTACTTCCACCCTTATAGACATCATTTTCCTTGCTGCTCATCAGCTGCAGCTTTTAGTTTTTCATATGACTTGGGTTTTCTTCTAAGATACGCTGAATTAGAGAAGGTAAATTTCATTTATTGTCACTAAAATGTAAATTTATTTTAATCATTAAAAAATATATTTTAAAGATACTTTTGTGGATATGTTGATATATTTTGATTTGAGACTGCTTCCTGAAATCTCAGTAGTTGTTATCGTCCCATGAATTTTGGCCATAAGCTATGAATTATGGAAGTGCTAGTTAAGTCCATTGTTGCAAAATCTTGTTTGGTCAATTACTTTTATTAAGAAGAATTCGATATATCATAGTGTCTCAAATTGTTCCAATATCTAAACATCTTTATGTGGAAACTTTGTTTACAACGCAAGACTGCAAATTTTGCCACTGCAGGGAATGATAAGCATAGCCTGTTATAAAGGAATAAAAATCATCTTTCCCATAACTACACCTAACTATAACTCACAGTTCTACGTGATATTGCAACAATACTAACAATCTAGCATGCTTACAAAACGATTTATTTGATAAATTTAGAAAGTGCTTAAGATACACGTAAAACACAAAGCAATTAAAAGCCATCACCCAATAATACTGATATGCACATACAGAGAGATGATCAGAATATGGATTCTATTCCTAACAACATAAAAAACTTAACAATCTAGCGGCCAGGATTCTCCAGAGGCAGAGGTGGGAGGATTTAAAATCATCTGACCGCTGGCTTTATCGAAAGCCATTGAGGTGGACATTTCATGGCCAGTAACTGCACCTTCAGAAAACCCCAACACAGTATAATCCATCTCAAACAACCAGGGATTTTGACATCCTGGGTTGGGATGAATCTTGTCCATCCAGTTCACGCTGGTGTTGGAATCTAAATGGGAAAAGTTGGCCTCCGTCTTGCGCTGTTTGGGAATAGTAGTTTGTTCCCTCGAGAAGCAACCTTGATGTGAGAGTAGGGAGTTGAAGAGCATCGATACTGATGAGTTGTTGTCGTTTGTCAAAGTGTGATTGTCGGTTGTGCCACTATTAGTAATGGTGGAAGTGGCTGAAAGTAACCCATTGGACGGGAAGAGCCGAGAGTGTAATTGTGAGACAACGGGGTTTATCAGGTATTTCAGGTCATTTTCATGGCGGTGAATCAGATAAGAATTGTGATCTTGCATTAGAGTTTGAGATTGAGACTCTGAAAACGATGCTGGACATGGGTTTTCAAGCAACGGCGGCGAGAAAGTCGTTGAACACGATGATACAGCCATCACATGGCTTTTTCCTTGAGATAGGGCATTTTTCTTCTCACCCGTTTTGTTAAATATTCTGCAAATCGCCCATTCTTCCTGCAAAAAGTAACCATTTTTCTTCTCATCCGTTTGAAAGAATAAATTATTTAGATAAACGATTAAGAAAATGCAGATATGGCAGCTGCAACTACTGACAGCCAAATAGCAGCGATGGAGTGAAAACCAAAACCAATCAAATCAAAACCGACCCTGCTAGCTGGAGTAGTTAAAAATAAGGTGAAAGTTGTCAAGTCAGCATGGACACAAACACCATATACCATGCCCCTACCAGTGCAGATGATCAGTTCAATGACAATATATATATTATTTTAGCTCCAATAATAAGTCAAACCCAGAAAGCGACAAAGAGAGCTTCGATCGAGATGAGATGATATTCCCACGTGTGGCGGAGGGCCCGATTACCTTGCAGGTGGGACGGCAGGCGAAGTCACCGTCCAAGCGGTACTCATGCATGACCCACTTGGTCTTCTCCCCACGGGGTGCTCTGCCCATGTAGAAAACAAGGGTTTTCTTCATGCCCAAAAGAGCTCCGCTTGAGGCACTGTACACTTCCCTATCTTTTCCTGTGGCTTTCCAGTACCCGGCTCCCGTGGCTCTGTTCGTTCTAAGCCCGCTCGGGTATTTCCTGTCCCTCAGGCTGAAGAAGTACCACTCCCTCTTCCCCATTTTTGCCATATCTGATCATCATTCATGTCAAATATTAATTACTTCACATTTATTTACTTTACCAGCGACTAAAGATATACAATCTATTTATTTACATACATATGCATATATAGTCTCCAACAAATTGTACAATATTTATCAATACAGTCAGAATATTAATGATATACTGCTTGACAATGGGACAATGACCGTGTCTTTAAATTTTCGAATTTAAAATGTCCTCAAGAAAGATTGCAATAAACCCAACATGTTTCCATATTTTGTTGGAAATGTTTACTACACCTGAACTATCTAGTTAGGGTTCTTCTGTTATTATGCAGGATTTCCTGGCAACATAGTTACTATACATATAAATGTACATACAATGTAAATTCCACTCATGCAATCTATTACAGTATCCAAGATCTCGCTTTTTAAGATCATAATTCCTAGATGCGGTAGGATTATTCTGGTATTTGAAGATCAGAAGCCACTCTAATTCATAAACTACAGCTTAACTAGATCCCATTAGCAGAGAAACCAGCATTTTAAGCTTACCCCAAAAAGAGGGGAGAAGAGTATTTGCTTGGGCTCGGCTGAGAGGAAAGCAACAGAAACTTATCTAAGATTCTAAGGAATCTATAGAAACATGCATATGATATCCATGCTAAGAAAATGCAATGGTGTAAGGCGGGTGGAGAATATTCTTGGATAATCACTCAATTAATATTTGACTTTGGTTAAAAGCAAGAATATTTATATATATACCTGGAAGCTCCCATGGTTCACATCTGTTAAGGTCAACCTCAGCAATCTCCACTCCGCAGAAATTTCCGTTAAATACCTTTGAAGCCAAATAAAAGGTCACAAGTTCTTCATCGGTGGGGTGAAACCGGAACCCCGGCGGCAAACCCTGCTCGTTTACTTCTTCTCCTGCGAGTTCACTCAGAAGTTCCTCAACTGCCAGCATCTTCCAACCCAGCTCTACCCAATTCTTTTGTCTTGCAATGAGAAAACACGAGGAGAGAACGAAAGGTTTTGTAGTTCGCAACAACAAACCAAGGGTCGTTGTGGTTGTAAATGAAAGGGAATGGAATGGGCAACAAGGGCCGCGAACATGCACCTGAAAAGCCTTCTAAAACTGGGAAAAAGAAATCCAAAAAGTAGTTTCTCGGAAAAACAAGAGGGGTTGACGCTTAAAAAAATCTAAGGGGCATCATAAATGCAAACGCAAAGTTGGTTGCAGAAGGACAGAGATTTATGCGTGCGTATATGAGCATATTGGGCGGAGAGAGAGAGAGAGAGAGATGATTTCAGGTTCTCGGATTGATAACAGTGAGATCATCATCATCATCCCCGCCTAATTATTTATTTATTATGCACAAAATGTAAATAGTACTATTAATTTACTTGTTGTACAACAGGGAGGCTGCGACGTTCAGAATACCCACCCGAGCAGTTGTTTTCCTTTATATAATCTCTTCATTCTTTTCGTTCTGAATATACACTCCAAGTTACAAAAAATTAATATAACGTCCGTAGATCAAATGAGTAATTAGCTGCTCACTTAATTGATACACTCCAAGTTACAAGAAATGTCGGCGTTGCACTTGCACGTGTAGGATGATTATGTAAATTAAAAAGGCGGTCGCTCTCAGTAGGAAGCAGCAACTACGAGTTTTTCCAGATCTTATCTCCTAAGTAAAAGATAACAACGGCTAGGATCTACTCTACACTCTCTCCGGCATACTACTGTTTTTTAAATGTTTTAAGTAAAATTCTGTCATTAATTGTTATATGCTATATAAATTGTGGTATAAGGGGTTATCTATTGCCTTTAAACTTCACCTGCAGGCTGCAGCTAGGAAGCCGGGTCCATAGTACGTAGCCTTATAGGGTCTCTTTTTTCCTATTATTTTTATCTTTCTTGCTGTATCTGTCAGCGGCCGATCATTGAGCACCTTTATTCGTAACGTCTCTCTTCTTAACCCTTACCCACCATCGCTAAACAAACAAAGCCGAGCACGGTTCAATTTATACTCGTAGGGCCCACTAATCAATGGGGTGAGTGGCCCAGTCAGCTTAGCTTGGTCCACGACTTTGAAAAACTGAACTGCGCACTTACATTACGGATCCATTGTTGTTCACGTACAAGCAGTTTTTTAAACTACTTTTTCTAACTCGGCTTGCAATAACTGTTCTTAATAGTGTTGATTAAACAATAGTATATATTTAAAAAAAATTTAGGTAATTAATAATATTAAGAAAATATTTATTTTTATTTTTATCAAGATTACCTGATAAATTCAACTTAAATTTTTAACGACCAAAATGTTAAAAAAATAATAACTATTCGTTATCAGATTTAGATTCTCAATCTTTATAATCAATAATACAAATATTGTATGATAGGTCATGATGTAAAATCAATATGATGAAAATATATTAAGAGTATCCTGTATTGCACTTAAAGATTCGGCTGACGTGACAATCGCTGATACTGCGACAACAGGTCTGATCTCACTTCATCACTCTGTTTTCAGAAAGAGTGATGATTATCCTCAAATTTTTTAACTCTTGTAACCTGAATTGCATGTGTGTTCTCTCGAGCTGTGTCGTTTTACTCACTGCAAACGAAGTGCCCCACAACCTGCGCAAAGCTTTGTTTAGATCGCTCTCATGAATCATGATTTTATGTGGGTTTGAGTACGGATGACAATCGGGTGAGATAGATGAAGATTTTGATAGATTCAAACTTGATTTGATAATTATAATTATTTTATTTTATTTTACATTTTAATATTTTATAATTATCCCTTAATAAGATAAATTCTTTCTAAACTCAAACCAAACCGTCATACATGGTGTTTTTTATTTGATTGTCAATGTCACGCTTAATACCAAAAAAAAAAAATCAATTCTACCCAAGCCCAAGAAAATTGTAGTGGCAATACCACAACCGGCTCCTGATTCTATGGTTTTTAATTTTTTACACATAATCTTTTTTTTTTTGACAGTCTTCATTGTAAATAGGTTGGGATGTATAAATAGGTTGGGATGTATTTGGTTGATTACAACTTTCTCAAATCTTATTATACAACACCTAAATATCTCTCAAATCTTATTTTTGTAATTTTTTGTTCATCATGAGTAACACGGCTGAATCTTCCGTCGGGGGAAACCTTGAAGTCGTGAGAGTGATCGAACACACTCGAAACAAATATATTTGGGATCACTACGATTTATGTGAGATGTCAAATGGCTCGAGGAGGGCGCGTTGTAAACTTTGTCTAAAGTTTCTTGCATCGGAAGGAAACACGACGTTGAAGAACCATTTGACAAAATCATGCAAGGCACTTTGCTCAAGATCGGATCCTAGTCAATCGAATATTACACCGCAAGGTGGTGTTTTTGTTTACGACAACGAAAAATTACGAGAAGCGTTTACAAAGTTCGTGATTACAAAAGCATTGCCGTTCGACCACTTTGATGATGAAGATTTCACGACAACAATTCAACAACTAATGCAACCACGTTATACTCAAGTAAGTCGTACTACCCTTAGAAGAGATGCTATAAAAAAGTGGCGTACGGCGAGGGAAAAAATGATTTTAGGATTCCAAGAACACCGTTATGGTGTGTCGCTTACATGTGACGTTTGGAGTTCCCCTTATAATACCGGAAATTCTTTTTTAAACGTTACGTCACATTGGTTAGATCAAGATAATTGGCAAATGATGAAAAGAACAATCGCGTTTGAATTATTTGGTGAGCCGCATACCGGTGCTAATTTATTTACACTTTTAAAAAGGGTAATTTGTCTTTATAAATTAGAAAATAAAGTTTTTTCTATATCCTTTGATAATGCATCGAATAATACAACGCGTTTTAAAAGGGTAATTGTGTCTTTATAAATTAGAAATAAAGTTTTTTTCTATATCCTTTGATAATGCATCGAATAATACAAACGCGGTTCCAAGATTGAAAATATTACTTTCACCGATTTTAGACGGTGCGTTTTTTCATACCCGTTGCTTTGCACACATAATTAATTTATCCTCCGTGCAAGCCGGTTTTGGAGGTTATTGAGCCGATTAGATTATAATTTAAAACAATGATAAAATCGTTCTTTGTAACAACAAAAAGACTAAATGATTATAAACGATTTTGTAAGTCCGTTAACAAAAAAGCTTTGGGTCCTAATTTGGATTGTCCAACTCGTTGGAACTCAACTTGGATGATGATGCATACTGCCTTAAGGCAAAGGGAAACATTGCAAACATTTCATGATCGGCTTTTTGAGAGGGGTCATGTCCCAAACATTTATCCGGATTCGAGTGGGAAACTATAGCCAAAATAACCGATTTGCTTGGGGTTTTTTAAAAATGCAACAACTTTTTTATCCGGTGTTTATTACCCTACTAGCCCCGTTGGTTCTTATCAAATATTTTTTGTTGGCTACCCTACTAAATGACTTTGAATTTGAAACCGAAGTTTTTCAAGAAATTGGCTTTGCAATGAAAGAAAAACTTTTAAAATATTTTAAGGAGATTCCCCCCCATTTTTACTTGTACCGACGCTTTAAACCCAACGTTAAATGTTGGCGGGTTGAAACACTATTGAACAAATTGCGTTTGCTTTTAATCTAACGATGATGAACCCCACTTTGTCCAAAACCAAATAAATTATTTTAACAAATTTTTCGAGCATGTTTGCAATTTATTTAACTAAATACGGATCAAGTAGTGTAATACACGATTAAATGAGAATGATGGCGGAATCATCTAGTAGACGCCAGTAACATAAATTTGAATCTTTTAACACTCTTGTAAATTCCCAATCCAACGATCACGTACTACCACCCCAAGTAGCGAGTTGGGAAATTACATGTCATGCGATTTTCTATCAAAAATGACATTTGAAGAGTTTGAAAGTTTGGATATTTTGGCTTGGTGGAAAGAAAGGAAGCACAATTTCCGATTCTAGCCGCCATGGCCCGTGATTTACTACTGTCCAAGCTTCTACGTAGCTTCGGAATCTGCTTTTTTAGTGGTATGGTTATATCGCAACGGAGATCAAGACTAAGTCCCGGTCGGTGGAATATGCATTTTTAAAGGATTATTTTGGATGGAGCGACTCGTAAGCAACATATTACCACCCTAGAAGATGCAATTGATGCCGATTTGGAAGCAAACTTACACATTGAGAAGTCGAACTTGGAATATCCCCTCCAAACGAAGAAGGCGAAGATGATGAAGAAGAGATGGCAATGTAGTTTATTTTTAAACTTTATTTCAATTATCGTAAACTTTGTTTCAATTATCGAACTTGAAGTTTTTAAGTATTTGAATTTATCGAACTTGGAAGTTTTTAAGTATTTGAATTTATCAAACTTGGAAGTATTTAAGTATTTCAATTATTTGAGTTAATCGATCGACGGAATCGGCCAAGAGGGGGTGAATTGGCAATTAAAATTTCGGTGGAAGCTTTTGCAGAAAATTGAAAGATTTGCACAGCGATTTAGAGTGGTTCGACTTTCTCAATCAAAGTCTACGTCCACTACCTTAGCTATCCACACTAAGGATTTTCCACAAATTCACTAATTTGTATTCTTTTGAGGACAAAGAGTACCTTACAAACCCTCAAGAATTATACCCCAAATTCTTGAGAAAACTCTCTCCCAAAGAGAACAATACAAATTTGCAAACTTACAAGGAAATCCTCACAAGGTAGATTGTTTGCACAATTCTAGAACAAAGAAAAGAACACTCAAAGATGAATACAATTGAGCACAATATGTGTTCTTGAAAGCAAAATGAATATTGAATGAAAATAGGCTTGAAATGCTCAAACTTGAGGTTTGATGCTTTCTCTTTGATTCTCTCTTGATTCTAGTTGCTTGATGTTTATTGTCTTTGATCAATGGCTTCTAAGCTTGCTTAAATACACCTTGAATCACTTCTGAACGTTAGGGATAATTAATGAAGATAATATAGCCGTTTAAGTGTGAAAACATTTAATAAAAATGCTTGGAGCGTGGGGGGAATCGATACCCTCTCATAGGGAATCGGTTCCCTAAGTGTAAAATTCAAATATTTCGACCGTTGAATAGGGGGGATCGGTACCCCCTATGGGGGAATCGGTTCCCTCCGAGCATTCTGGAAATCTCGGAGCCAAACCATTCAGGGGGAATCGGTACCCCCTTGGGGGGAAATCGGTTCCCTCTGAGCAATCTGGAATTTTTGGTTTTGAAATGGTTCGAAATACTTTGAAAGATTATTTTGAAATTGTTTTAAGATTAAAACTTAATTTTACACTTAAGTAAGAATTAAAAATGATTTTTGAAATATTTCGAGTAATGTTTTGATATTTAAATAATTATATCGAATATACTTAGAAAATCATTTGAAAAATCTTAAAATTCATTTAACTTAATTTGTTATATCGAAATATCAAAATGTTTTCAACAATTATCGTAAACTTTGTTGCAATTGATGACGATGTAATTTTTAATAATATTTAAAATCGGTTTTTTTTATAACCGGTTTTTAAAAAAAAATCGGTTTTTTTAAAACCGAAACCGGTTACACCGGTTAGGATATCCGGCCCTCCAAACCGGTTAAAAACCGAACCGATTATTTTATAAACCGGTTTTTTTTCTATGGGAAAAAACAGGATCGGATAAAAACCGGATCGGATTAAAATCCGACTTCTGTGCAACCCTATTCACAGTATATACACACACAACAATAACATATGTTGAAGAACGTTGGACCAGGTTTTCCAGCTTTGGTTATATGTCAACTATAATACATACGCACTTTATATTTTTCAAAGACATGTTTTGTAGAATATATCTTAGTTGATGTGACAAAAACCTCAAATGATGTTTTTTACCATTTAATCATTAAAGACTAAAATGGTTTTTTTTAATAATATATCAACACTACTAAAAAATGGGGCAATTTTATTAAAAATTAAATTATTAAAAAATGGGTTTACATTCATTACCCACTAATAATTTTAAAATGTAATACTGATTTATAAAAGTAATCTCTTTTACATTATTATTTCTTGTTTTTCTTCGTTGAATACTTGAATAACCCTGCTTTGGTTGATTGGATTATGATTGTTGATGGAGTTCTTGGGTTTATTAGCATATAGTCTAGTTGTTGTTCTAACATGTCATCATGTACTGTAGTCCAATATATTCATTAGAATTAGCTCCAACACTCTTGAACCAATAGTCGAGATTTTCAGTTGGCATCTCAAAATGAAAACAAATGTAGATTACACGTACAAAATTAACCCAGAAATGAAAGAAAAAATTCATCGAAAGTAAAAGAATACGAAAAGAAAAGAGCTTACCCGAGAGATTGTTGGACCATAACAATTGCAAAGAACTTTAAGGTTAGAGAGAAATTGATTGGGCAGAGAATAGGAAGTACAACCTTACAAGATTTGATTGAACGGATTTTAGGTGGAAAGTGCCAATCACAACTGATTACAAACTCATTGCTATACCATCTTATTGTCGATGTTATTTCGACAAAGCAACACAACAGATTAAAGATAGTGATTATGAAACCATCTTAAATATAACACCATTACACAGCCTGAGGCGAACATAGCATCTCCATATTTAACACCTCATATGCCATTGAGGGTCACCACCACTCTACGAGCTGTCGGAGCATCGCGATGCTCACAAAGCCAAATGCCCTAAAACATAACAGAAAAAAGGAAATTGGATATCTTTTGTTAACAGAGAACATTGGAAAGCAAATTCAAACAAGATGTAACCAAAGTTTTAGCAGTCTCGGAGCAAATTGATCAAAGGCCATTCAAAGAAAGAGATGAAATGCATGAGAAGTGAGAACATCCAAGTTCTCAATGCATACGGGCAATCAAAGCTGATAAAGACCATATTCACAGTTGGATATGATCATTGTGGCTAAATATGATGTACCTGCCAAGTTCCCATGTTAAGCTCTCCATCTGTAATAGGAACCCTGTAGAATAATAACATAAAGATTGGGTGAATTTGAAGTAATTCAAAGAACAAGAAATGAAACCTTTATCAAACTGAAATATACTCACGTTAGGGCGCAGCCAAACATTGATGATTTGATATGGGCGGGCATGTCATCAGGGCCTGAAAAGGTTAAAATGAAACTTAAATATGAAGAAACTGACTTGGATGGGAAGGAGCAGGGTTCAAGTTATATCAGTAGAGTATAGCTGAAAGTGCAATGAGTCTAAATTTGTAAATATGAAATGACACAAACCTTCTAGCGTATGCTTCCAAGGCGCAGACCTTCCCTGGAAAATGAAGATAAAAATTTCAAGCACCATTTAAAAGAAAAGAAAAGAAAACCCCTCAGCATTCTGTTATCTCCATACCTCTGGAACTATTTTGTTGAGGAAGGTCTCGGTGTCGTCACGAACATCCGAGTCATAATTCTCATTGATGGTAAGCGAAGCACTTGTGTGTTGCACTGGAATGGTGAAATCGTAAATATGTGAATAAATAGCATAAAATTAAAAATCATTGTGCAGAGGGAGAGATGATCAAAGGAGTAAAGTGGAAAATAGTGACCGAGAGACACTCACGGAATAGATGAGCAAGGCCACACTTAAATTCAGATAAATCGGGTCTGATTTCCTTCAATATCTGGTTCCCAAAAGCAAAGTTAAAGGTAAAAGAAAATGAATTATTGGGAGGCAAAAACGAGTAGGCATGTTGGTTACCTGGGACGTAACGAGATGGCAGCCTCGCCGATGGGGAGGAAGAGTAATGGTCTTCTGAGCCCATTTCGGGCCGGGGACGGTGGCAGCCATGGTGTTGGAATCAACGGAGGATGTGTTGTACTGTGCTTTTACCGACGCAGGCTTCGATAAAAATAGTGATGAGCTTTGCATCAGCATCTTTTAGATTCTCTCCCCAAGTTGTAACCTAACCTGCTGATTTTAAATGGCTCGGCTACTAGCTATTGTCTATTGAGCTCAAGAAGCCCATACGCATAGCAGAATTTCGAACGGGCTATGCTATACTCCACAAACATCATTGATATTTTTTGGGCCATTTTTGCAAATTGAATGAAGTTCTCAAACGAGTGGTTAGTCGACGAGCCTCATCTCGTGTATGGTTGGTAGCCATTTGTTTGTTTGCCAACCTTTAGTTTATTCATGGCCAATAAGATAAATAACGAGCAAAATGAGACCTAATATATCCGACTAATTATGGGTGATCATTCGGTCGAGATGAGTTGAATAAAAATATTTGATTTATTCGAGTTGAAAAGTCGTATTTTACAATTCGAAGTTGACTTTAATTTTTTTCGAGTCGAGTTGTTCGAGTTTCTATACCAATTTAATTGTAATTATTTATAATATTATAGTACAAATTTATTCTAATTTTTTTTAATTTCTCTAATCTTATAAGATATATATTTCTTCAAATTCTTTTTACATTACAATGTTATTTAATATATCACATACAATCTAAAATTATAAAATATATTTACAATATTATATTTTCAAGAAGGTGTTTTGAGGATAAAAGATTAATGATAGTATAAAGGAGTCAAAGAATTGATGTGAAGAAAGAATTTGTAAATAATTGTAGTCAAAAGACTAAAATGAGTAAAATGCAAAGTTAAAATACTAAATTAAAAAAAATACATTTTTTGTAAAAAAAAATTGAAGTTACATAGATAATCTATAGTGGTAGGGAACATGTGGTTTAAATTTGGTCAAAAATATACTTAAAATGAATAATGAATTGAAGAAATACGAAAATCATGCAAAATTGAGAGACTAAATTGAAAAATGAAAAAATATCATAAAAAATGAAATTAGAAGTACATATATATATTCTATGATGGTTTAGGAGCATGTTGTTCAAATTTAGTGAAAATGTAACTTAAAATAAAGGAAGAATTGAAGGAATAAGAAATCATTGACCAAATCGTAAATATGTCAAAATACTCATCCAAATTTTCGGTTTTTTCGAGTTACTTTAAATTTTGAAATTTCAATTTGACTCAAAATCGAAAACTGAATTTATAATTCGACTCGACTCAAATAACTAAAAATTGAAAAAATTTGATTTTTTGGTCGAGTCAAATTTTGCTCACCCGTACAACTAATGCAAAAAGCGAATCATGTATGGATGAGATTTTGATTTTTTAAGAATATAACTATTATTTTTAAATTATTTTATATAATCTAAATTGAAAATAAAATTCGTGTATAAATATATTATTATATTATTTTTGTGTTTATAATTGTTTTTTTATATTTATCGTGTGATTTTTTATATATTATTTATGTGATTTTTAAAATATTTTTTTTCTTATCATATGAATGATCTCAATGATAAAAGGAGTATTATTCTCCTTAAAGATTCTGTGGTTGAACAACTGCATCTAAATGTAGAGTTGATCATAAAACAACAAAGGAGGATTTTATTGTGATTAGGAATATATGGTAGAGTGATAGAATAGAAAGCGAGTAGAAGATGACATATGAGAATAAGGAAGATGATGATCGTAGAGGAGTGATCGAATGGGTCATATAAGTTGTCAATGGGTAAAATAAACGTTTAATGGTCCAACTCAACTTTTATTCTCCTACATTAACGGCGGTTAAAGACGAGTGATAATTTTGTTAGTGTTATTCAACAAGAATATAGATAAGAAGAGATGAAGAAATAGAACGTAGATTAAGATAATAGAAATTCCAAGTAAATTCAGCAAGCCTCTCATTTACAAGCTGGTTTTATTTATATTCGACTGCTATAGAAATGGACAAAACCAGTTAGAGCTCTAAGCATCCTTCTTTCTCACCCCTCTGCGCCTCTCTCGAATGTTCCCTGCTGCTAGTTCCAGGCGTACAACATTCTCCTTAGCTGATGTTATCTGTTGTGGCATATCGTTGGCCTCCTCTAGCAGCTTATATTCCTTCTCCTTAGGTGGTGTTTGGATCAAGGAATGTGAGATTCCCATAGGAATGTAATCCACATTCTCATGTTTGGTTGGCCGGGAATCTTATTCCCGGTAATGTTTTATTATCAATAGTAGATTTTTTGGGTATATTACCGGGAATGTCATTACCTCCCTTTCCATAAGTATTGTTGGATTACCGGCGTTTTAGATTAAAATGCCCTTAAATTTTTATTTTTTTCAAAAATATCATTCTTCTGTCATTGAATAATAAAAATTCTACGAAGGTTAAATTACAAATTTATCCTTAAACTATTTTAGATTTACAAAAAAAGTCTATAATTAAAATTTTATATGAAGTTCAGGGTTGAAATAGAATTTTACCCTTTCATTAAACCTTTTTATATTTTTAATTTTGTAAATATATATAAATATATATATATATATATATATATATATATATATGAATTTTATGAATTTATTTTTAAAGAAAATATATAAATATTTTTCAACTTGTTAAAAAAATAAATATATAATAAGGACAATTTGGTCAAATATACATTCCAATAATCTTTTATTCCTTTAACCAAACACGGTAATCTTACATTCCTGCTAAACCAACCAAACACAAAATACAGCATTCCCAGTAATCCTATTCTCTGGTAATCTTACATTCCCACTGGTAATCTTACATTCCGTGAACCAAATGCACTCTTAATAGCTACAAGTTGAAAATATTAGTTATATTAGCGACAGATAAGAATAGAAAACGAGTAGAAGACGAAATATGAGAATAAGAAAGACGATGATTGTAGTGGAGTGATCGATCAACGGTCATATAAGTTGTCAATGGGTCAGGTAAACGTTTAATGGTCCAACTCAAATTTTCTTCACTCACATTAACAATGGTTAACAGTTAGTGATTATTTGTGTAATTTACCCTAAATTAAAAGAAAGAGATGATAATAAGACGACAATACATAACGTTTAAAAAGTAATTTTATCCTTATAAAAAATTAGTAAGTTATTTGACATAAATCGTATTTTTTACGCGATTACAGTTATATTATTTGAATTTATTTTATATTAATAAAATAGTGAAAAAAGAAATTATGAATTACGGAAATTATAATTTTCCTTTTTGGATTAATCTAGTGAGTTTAAGATATCTGTTCAAAAAATTATAAACTTATAATATGATATTAAAATATAAAAAAGAAGATATTTAGTAGATATGATGTTGTTACGTTCGACGAACACGGATGAACACAATTAATAATGAACATCACAAAATTAATGTATAAAACGTTAAATTATAAAGTATTAAACGTATAATTACAAATTAATTACAAATCTAAAAATAGTTTAATTAAAATAGAATATTTATAAAACATTAGTTTTTATAATCTTATTTAATTGTAATTATATCACATATTAATTTGGGAAATTTATAAACCTTAATTTATTTTCATAATTTTGAAGCTCCAGTCGTTGCCGTCACCGTTGCCACCGACACCGATAATATCTTTAGCCACCGACGAACGACGAAGACTAAATCAACGGCGAAAGATAATATCGACAACAACAACGGTGGTGGCGACAGCGGAATGGTAACGACAGTGGTAGTAACGACGATAGCTTTAAAGCTATAAAAATAAAATAGAATTTATAATTTTTTCTAAATTAATATTTAATCTAATTATAATTAAAATAAGATTATAAAAACTAATGTTTTATAAATATTATATTTTAATTAAATTATATTTAAATTTTTAACTAATTTATAATTATAATTTTAATTATTTATAATTTAATATTTTATAAATTAATTTAATGGCAAACGTGGTAAAATTGTGCAAACCCAGACCAAAAGCAACCCAAATAAAATACCCAGACCAAACATTTTAACTTGAACATCTCTTCAAGGAAATAGATTTAGGAATAGCGACCCAAAACAGATTACAGATACCAGAAACTCACTGAAATCAGAAATGAATGCTAGTGCCACAGTAGCAGTGAGCTCTTGCCTCTCAACCTCCAAGCCATTGTACATTGGCTTAAGCCCAGTCCCTATCTGTTTGCGCCGGAGGAGGAGGAGGTCGAGCTAGCGGCGTGGGAGGCCCAATCTACCTATCGCCGCCTCATCCTACTTCGCCATGCCAAGAGTTCTTGGCAACATCCGGCTTTACGAGGCCCCCCCTCAAAAGAATCTATTTCACTAGCATTCTGATCTTTGTTTTTATTAATACCATATCTTGCTATCTAAATTTTCCTAATGGTGAATGCCACAATTTGGCGAACCCCAACACCATCAGATCACGACCGTCCACTCAGTAAATCCGGGCGATCTGATGCTGCGGCGGTTTCTCAAAAGCTCCAACGAATGGGTTGGATCCCTCAGCTTATTTTATCCAGGTTAGCTAGTTTCTCTTCTCTAAGCATCATATTTTGAAAACCTTAATATTGATGTTTCGAAGACCAAAAAAAAAAAACTCAATCTATTAATTCATTTTGCTCCAGCGATGCCGTGGGTACCAGAGAAACACATGCAGGAACAGGTGCGTGGTTTTCTGGAAGCAGAGGTCCATTTTATTTCTAGCTTTTATTTCATTGCAGCCATGGATGGACAGACTGCTGAACACCTCCAACGAATTATCTGTCAATATTCAAGTAACGAAATACTTACCATCATGTCAGTGTCTCTTTGCTGTCTACTTTGATTATTCCTTTGCTGTCTTAATTTTATTTCAATATGTTATTCTGGTTCAAGCTTTAGGTTTCTACTCTTTAATTGAAACCTGATTAGTATAGTATGATTGTGTGTTTGTTTCCTGAGAAAATTTATATTCGTAATTTATCACAGATTCACTCTAAATTAGTTATACAGGTGCATGGGGCATAATAGGGGATGGGAAGAGGTGGCCTCCATGTTTACCGGTGCTTCCATAGAGCTCAAGGCTTGCAATGCTGCTTTGCTTGAAGCTCCCGGAAAATCTTGGGAAGAGGTTTGATTTCCTTCCATAAAATATTTTCATGTTGTCTCTG